GGGGGGGGGGGGTTTAGAGGTGTTTAAAGAGAGCTTCTCGCGCCTGTTGTGGTCGTTGATTGCTCGGTCACGGTGTTGAGGGCCAATGATCCAAAACTTTTTTTTTTCGTTCTCGTTTGGGATTCATCGGTATCTGGCACTGCTGCTTGCGTTCTTGCGCCCCGAAATGTGGCTGACAGCGTTCACGATTGTATTGGCCAGGACCCCTTTTTTTGTCGTGCCCGTTTTAATCTTTTGTGCGAGGTTTTGGTTTTACCGATGTTCGTCCGGTAGGTTTTTCGATGATAGTGTCTTTGGGCCTAGTTGTGGTCCCGTCCCGGGCGGAACCTCCAGGCGTTCCGGGTGGATAAATAGCACGCGCGGGAGACGCTCGTGAATCGTCTTCATCGTCAGAACCAAAAATATTTTGCGCGGATGTGTTTGTTGCGTAGCCGACAACCCACAACAACGAAAGCAACACTGTTGTGCGACGTCCCCGCTCCACCTCCCCTCCCGCCCGCCCCTGCCGCAGCCAAGTACGAGGAGGCGGAATGTAACATGCCCATGATCTCGGAACTCGCCGATGCGACGGAGATGTCGCTGACAACTTCCATCGTAACACGCGGAGAGCTCGACCTCGTGCAAAAGTGAGCGCACTAAATTGACGTTTTTCTCGAATTTGTTGGCATCAGTGCTCAGCATGGCATGCCTGTCTGGTATCAGAACGTTCATAACCGCTGTCACGTCGCGGCGTACTGCTGTGTGGTGCTTGGAGTCTATACGAGAACTCAAAATTATGGTGTGTCGCCTGGCTGCGACATAACCGCGGCTCTTGCCTCTCCTCCTGCCGCTGCTGTTGTTTCTGTCGTGCGTCTTCGTTGCACCGTTACATCCGTGGCGTGGTTCCCGCTTGTTTTTGTGTTTTTTACGGGTGGGTATTCGTCCTTTGCGCTTGATCACGACCGTTCACTTTTGGCTCACACCGTCCTTTGCGTTTTGCCACCACCGTCCCTTCGCTTTTTGGCCAATACCGCCCTTCACTTTTGGCTTACTCCGGCGTTCGCTTTTTGGCTTGCACCGACTTTTGCTTTCGGCCATCACCGTCCTTTTGCTTTTTGCCGATACATCAGCCGGCTTGAGTGGGACGTATCGCGGGTGACCGCCATGCACTTCTTGGGGTACTACACTTCACAGGTGTGATGTCGAGGGGGGGAAGGGAGGGGGGTGTACTCATAGTCGTGCATGCCGTAGTCGTTAGACCATTGACCTCGCATCCCTACAAAGCCGGGACGGAGCACGCCGGGTTCTCACCGGACCAGGCTCTCACATCACCAAGCGCGAAGCGCCGTGAGATATTCGGCGAGTCGCATGAAGGGTGCGCTGCATCCTGCTAAGGGTGTTCGGCATCTTGTGCTTACTTCCTTGCGTACGGATGACAGCTGCGTATGAATTAATTTATTTTCTGGTGCTTTCACTTCCAGAGACAGTTGTAAGCACTGTGTAACTGCCTCGAGGGTGCTTGACCATTTTAACACAACGTGGTGCGATCATCCCCCTTGCGCGGAGTGAGGGTTCTCCACCCCGCACAACATGATCTACTCGACCACCATTATGGTTACCGCCAAAAAAAAACAGAGGTAAAAAACAAACGGTAACCTGGTAGCCGAGTTCACGAAGTGAATCGGCTTGTTTATCAACGTCGTTGCCAATCGACGAAAACCCAATCCCGATGGCAAACACCGAGGGGGGGCTTGTTTTACAACGTCGTTGCCAAGCGACGAAAACCCAACCCCGATGGCAAACACCGGGGGGGGGAGGGGGAAGGGGGAGGGGGAGGAGAATTCGAGCGTGGATCGTCAACTTGCTGCTGCGGCAAGGGTTTATGTTGTATGACCGGTGGTTGTTTTGTGTTTTGGCTTAGTTTCAATCCTTCCCCAGACGGAAGAAGCTGAGAGCCTGTCTGGTTCAGGTAGGAACTTGGAGACACCGATGACATCTTATGAACGGTGCTGGTGTTTTGGTAGAGTTGGAAGAATGTTGACATGGAGGTTTGTAGTGTCGCTGATGGAGACGTTTGACTATCCATGAGTCCATTTGGCGCGCTGGGAGGAAGGATTACGGGGACTGTTGTGGCATGAATGCTGTTGCAGCTGCTGCTGCCGTTCGCGCGTTAATCACACCGCTCCTGCGCCCCTGCTGCTGTTGTTGTTGCTGCTGTTGCTGCTGCTGCCGCCGCCGCGGTCGATGCTTGTTGTCTTCTCCGACAACGACAGGGAGTAACAGCGCCGGACGACACGTGCCAAGGGAGGCGGCTCGTCGAGAAGGTGCGGCGATAGTTGGTCGGCGTCATGGCAACTAATAAACCTAACGCTCAAGTTTCCTTTCCGAAAGGCTCGCCGTCTAGGACATAGATTTCGCAGCCAACCACTTGGGTGCTTCGTTACAACCGCAGACACGCGTGGTAAATTAATATCACCCACGCGTGCCCCATACCATTCTGACCGCGACTCCCTGCTTCATACCGTGTCCCCTGATGCATAATTGCGCAGGTCGTGACGTACATGAAAAAGTACGTGGACTTCTTCGCGAACCTATGCCAGCAGGGCTACCAGTTCCAGCGGTATAAGCCGTCGCACATCGCCGCGACCGCTATCCTTGCCGCGCGGAGAGCACTCTGCATAAAGTGAGCTACTTTTGTTGTTATTTTTGAGACGGTGTTTGATGTACCATCCAACGTGAGGGATCGCGCTTTGCATATTGTGAGCTCGCAAGTATGACACGCCCGCCTAATCTTGCTCTTTTTTTGACGTTGTTTGGTGTTGGGATTAGGTCCTCAGTCTTAACCATACGTAGCTTGTGTGCGACACACACACATCGGCCAACTGGTGTGCTGCTTGCGGAGCCTTTTTTTTTCATGTTCAAGCCTTGTGTGATTTACCAAACGTAGAGTGAGGTTTCCAGCCAACCGAATTTGTAAGTTTTTTGTTAGTAGTGTTGCGATTTTTTTAGCTTGCAGCACGTTATGTTTTTTGCGAGGTCGTTTCGCGCACATACACGGTGGGGTTCATCGTTGATGGTTTTGCATTTTTTGTGATGCCATCCAGTTTCTTCAAATTCAGCTTTGTAATTGCTTCTACGGTTGCCATGTACGAAGCAATATACCACCAAGAATTCGACACTCATACACGTAAATATATTTTGAAAAAAATGACACCAGACCGATGTGGCGAGACGAGCTGACCGATCTGACGGGCTACAAGCTGGAGGAAATATCTGATTGTGGCGAGGACCTGTGGCACTTCTACGAGAAGATGTTCCCGTTGCACAGGGTGAGTTAAGATAAGACGACCACGGAGGTCGCCAGAGTCGCACCGTTTGTTTATTTTTGTCTCAAGAGTTTTTTTTTTGTGCTGTCCTTCCATCCGATGCTCCGCTGCCAGCAGCAGCTACCACACCTTCCTTTGCGTACCAGGCCCGCACTTCTGGACGCCTGCGTGATCCTGTTTGTACTCTTTTGTGCGTCTTTGTCCTCTGTTTTCTCTCGTCTCACGTACGTCCGCCTGAAGCCCCTGCGCACGGACGCCTCAGCGTCGCTCAAGAAGGCCGCTGCCGTCGAGCAGCAGCAGCAGGTCGCCGCCGCCGCTGCAGCAGCAGCAGCAGCAGCAGCAGGGGGCGCGGCCGCAGGCGCTGGCGGGGTGGGGGCCGCGGCTGCTCCGTCGAGCGGAAGCAACCCGGCCATCGGGGCTAACCCGAACACCATAGCGGGAGGGACTGCAGCCGGTGGGGCTACTGCTACCTCTACCGCGCAGTAGTAGAACCGCTTCGGGCGGCGAGGGGGGGAGGGGGGGGGCAACCTACTGCCTCTATCGTACCAGTAGTAAAATCGCTTCGGCGTTTGTTTGAAAAGGGGTATGGCGGACGTTGTGAATATCCTGGCGACGGCTCGTGGGCCTGCTACCTGCTGCTGCTGCTGCCATGGGCATCAGGGACACGATGCGGCGGCGTGTCACGGGGGCAACACGTGGCGTGGCCTTTTTCCGGGGGGAAAGCAACAACCGCTCGCTGCTGAGCAGCTGCTGCTGCGTTGGGCAAGTTGCAGCGCGTTTGCGAAGAGGAGTGTGAGTAAAACTCGTGCGTACCTACCTCACGCACTCAACACGTTGCTGCTGAGCTCGGAGTGGTAGGGTAACGGCTTCGCTTCCGCGGTGCCCCCGAAAGCACCAAGAAGCGCAGCCAATGGCGCGGGACGGCTACAGCTGTACAAGAATGTCTTTTTCGTGGTTGTGTTTTAGTTGTTTATTTTTTGGTTACTTCTGCCCGCCCCCGACATTATTTTTTTTATGTAGTTGCACGCGGATTCGCACGAGACTTTTGTAGAAAGAGCAAGGGGAGATGTACGCCGTGCGGTCGGGGATAGTCTTGCTGGGGGACCTGCTGCTGCTGCTCTTTCTGCTCTTTTGCTGAAGCTTGCTCACGATGCCTGCCGCGTTTTGGTGCCGCAAGCATTCTTGTCCCTGCTATCCATGAGTGCTTGAGTATGCTCTGCCTTGGTCTAGGAGCAGCACCTGTTGCTCATGAAGGAGGGGTGCGATTCGCGCGTGGGAGGGGGGGGGGGGGGGGGGGGGGGGGGAAACTTTTTTTTTT